TTTTATCTCATTGAGAGATTTGAGATTATACAAATAAATGTAAAAGTCTTTATTTTATTAATTAATTTTTGTATCCTTTTATTTTTTAATTTTCTCTAATTTTAATTAGGGTTTGATTGTCTTTCCTAACAGAAATAAAACAATGACGTGTAGAATCATTAAAAATACATGATGGTATTTAAAAAATACTACGATGCTTGTTGAGATAAAAAATAATGAAAATATAAAAATAAATGATGATGATGATGATGATAATACAAAATATTACTAAAAAAATCCAATGATTGGTGAGACATAAAGATATTTCGATATTAAAAATGATTGTCTTATATTCAAGTAAATGACTATATGACTATAATGCTAATCTATATTCAAGCATATTTGTGTGACTTTGGTGACTTTCTTTTTTATATGTTGCTAAATTATTTTTTTCTTAATCAGTCATTCATCTTTGTATTGACCTAAAATTACAAAGTCACCTCAATAGTAAAATCACTTAATCTAATCCCCCATATTAACCTTAACCAATCTCTATTGCAAAAAAATATAACTAATTAATAAATTATTAAAACGTCATTGCTAAAATATATATATATATATATATATATATATATATATATATATATATATATATATATATATATATATATATATATATATATATATATATATATATATATATATATATATATATATATATATATATATATATATATATATATATATATATATATATATATATATATATATATATATATATATATATATATATATATATATATATATATATATATATATATATATGATAGCTTCGTTCTTTTAAAAAATGATTTCTTTATTATTTTTGCTTAAATATTTGTTTCATTAAGGTTGTGTTAAATATAGGCCTTGAAAAGATATTCAAAAAATAAAAATTTATTATTTTAAAAAATTAAAAAATAACATTTTATATTAAAAGTAATAAAATATAAAATAAATTATTTTATTTTATTAAAATCTATTATAAAAAATAAGGTCTAGATTATACCAAATCTATATAAAACGTCTCATTCATTGAAACTTTAAACATTTTCTTTTATAATCTAAATATTTCATTATAAAATATTTTAATTACTAAAATTAAAGCTATTATAATTTATAATTTTCTCTTGAAGATTATAAATTAAATAAATAAAAAATATTTAAATATAAAAATTAAATTGAAATTATTAGATAAGACATTGTTTATGCGGTACTAGTTTTGAAGAAAAAAGATAAGGAATAAGTAATTTAAGGATGGAGTTTTTTAACAATTTAGTCAAATTTAGATGTGCGAGATGGAAATATTTTCTTGGAAAAAAATTTAATTACATAACTATGTTATTTACTTTTGCAAATATTTGTTTAATTTAAAAAGCAATTGTTATTATATTAATCGGATGGGGGGAGAACAATCCCATAATTTATAACTGATGTGGATAATAAATATCTCACTTGAATGCCTTAGTTAGAAGAATTAAAAAGGAAGTTCATAACATGGATAGTAATTCTGATCTAGACTCCAATGGTTTTGAGAGATGTTTTTGCAAGTCTATTGAAATATACTAGGGACGAATGATCAATTTAATGAATTAATTATTTAAATAAAGTTGGATCCTTCCTAATCTCAATTAAGTTAACGTGACTTTGATGATTATACAACATATAATAGATTCTATTGAGTAGTATATATCTCTTGCACTTGTAAATTTTCAATTCAAAATTATCACTAAGAATATTATAGACAGATTGGTCATTTTAGCTCCTAAAATTATTTTCGAACACTAAAGGGACTTCATTAAATTAGTTTAGAAGCTATTATATGTTGGACAATAAATTATTTGATGGTAATATGATTTTGAATATTGACATCCAAAAAGCTTTTATTAGTTTCGATTAGCTATATATTATTGAAGTTCTTCTTCAATTTGACTTTGATCAAATGTTTTATGATTGAATGATTATTTTCCAATCAGCATAATTATCAATCATGATAAATGAGACAATTGCAAGAATTTTTCTTGTTATAAAGGAGTGATGCAAGGAGATCCTTTGTCTCTCTTTCTCTTTTGCATTGCTGAAGAGACACTTAGTGAAAATTATCTATGTTAGGAGCAAGGTAAATTTACATGCTTATCAGTTGGTAAGAAAATCATCAAGTCATTCACCATCTTCTTCAAGAAACTGCCAATATTTTGATAAACACATATATCCTACTAAGTGTGAACTTTATGGTGGATGTAGTTTTGGATATAGGCCGAGGCACATTACAGATATGTTTGGATTCGTTGTGGTTCAGACACCATTTAATTATCTTGGAGTTCCAATATTCAAAGACAAACATATAACTTATTATCTTCAAAACATAATAGATAGAGTATCGGTCAAGCTAGCTACTTGCAAGAGTTATTTTCTCTCTTTGATAGGTAAGATTCAATTTGTTCAATCAATCGTACAAGACATGCTTATGTATAATCCTAAGATTTATCAATGACCAATCGATCTTCTTAACAAACTAAAATCTTGCATCCGAAATTTTAAGTTTCCATGTAGCAAGACAATAGAAAACTAGTTACTACTTATTGGAAGGCTATTTGCTCACATTTGTCTAAAAGCATGTTCGACCCTGTGCAGGAATAGCGGGCTCTATAGCATAAAGCCTCAAATTTTAGAGGCCCCCCCAAATATTGAAAAGTCCAATTATTTTTACATTAATATTAATAAATATAAAAATATTATAAAATATCTAATAATTAAAAAATGCTATGGTAAAAATCTAATATATTAAAAAAATGAGATTGATCAAAGTCAAAATAATTATAATTAATTACTTTTATTAATATATATAATTATTTTTTATATGTCATTTTTAATTATTATAATTATATATATTTTTAAATTTGGGTACATTTTTTAAATTAGAACGGGCCTCCATTTTGATTGGGTCGGATCTATCTAAAAGAGGTCTTGGTCGGAGAGATGCTAAGACAATAAATAAATTTTAAGTTTTTTTTTCTCTTTATTTAAAGATATTGACTATATACACTACAACATTTGTTGTCTATGGCAACACTTTTTTAGGTAACATGTAGAAATTGTTGCCTTAAATTCATATAGGCAACGATTTATGATTGTTGTCAAAAATATGTTTGCAACCCTTGATAATCGTTGCCTAAAATACTTTTGGGGACGGCGATACTCTTTTATTTTTTTGTCAATGGTTGTTAATTGTGCCCTTAACTGCTTTTGGGGACGATTTTAGAGCGTTAAAATATTATTTTTTTAGCAATGTTTGACAATTGTCCCCTAAAATATTTTTGGGGACATTTTTAGATTGTTACATTAGTTCTAATAAAAGGCTACATTTTTGAAATGTTGTATAAATTTTTTTAGAATTATCAAATTTTTGGTGGCAATCTTCCCTCCAAAATTTATACACTAAAAAACAAATATTTTTCTCTAAACATTATTAATATATATATAAAAAAAATATTTTCTAACACAGGAATTTAAAAATAAAAAATTTCAATTAAACAGAAAATAAAAAATTATATATATATATATATATATATATATATATATATATATATATATATATATATATATATATATATATATATATATATATATATATATATATATATATATATATATATATATATATATATATATATATATATATATATATATATATATATATATATATATATATATATATATATATATATTAAAAAAAATTCATTAAACAGAAAATAAAAAATTTTCTAACACAGAAATTTAAAATATTTTTCAATCCATTCCCTTTCCATTCTTCTCTCGCCGTAAGTCATCTCTATCCCATTCCATTCCTCAACTTCAATAACTGCATCACTTTTCTCACAACATTCTCACTCTCGCTGAATCCAGCTCTCATGATTCCGAAGCAAGTTCGAGAAATCAAGCTTCGCGTAACAACGACTCCACTCGTTTATCGCTTACTCACTTCCTCGATCGCAAACTGCACAACTCTTCAACAGTCCCTCAAACTGTTCCGGTAAAATTCTGGATCCAAAATTACTCTTAGGGTTTCGGGCTGATTTAATATATATGGGATATGTTGAAGTGTGTTGATTTGTTTCATTTATTTGTTGTTCGTTTCAAAAGCACGTGTTTCTTTTCTTGGATGAAATTTTCTAATTTGTTTTTGAATAGGGGAAATTGACGCCTTTTCAATCACCGGCCAATGAGCAAGATGGAAGCGTCAAACTAACTGAAGAAGAGAGAAAGTCTGCAACTGCTGATGAGAAGTTGATTTTGGGAATGTTCAAGCAAGAGGGCAAATGTGACTTTGTTCCTCCGTTAGATCTTGATGAGTTAGGAAATTATGTGGCAGGTGATGGTCAAGGAGCTAGGAAAAGGAAAAATCCATTTGAAGGTTTGGATTCCTATCCCAATGAACTTGAGCATGCGTTTTGGCTCTGTTATTTATTATTCTGGCTCTGTTATTTATTATTCTTATGGGAAAGTTGAAACTGTTATTTAGGGAAATAATACAATTAAAGTGTCCTTGTCTTTTACTTTATCGACTAGTTAGTGATTGCAAGTGAGGTTCTTTGTTTAATTTATTGATGTCATAGAGGGATATTTGTTTCAGTCTATTTTACTTTGAATGGTCATGAAAAAAGATTTTATACTGACAACCATTTTAACTCCATTTTGGAAGATCAAGTAGGCACCATGTCTCTGATTTCATACTATGTATGCCGTTCATTGTCATATGCTTCTTTAGGAAACTTCAATGTATGCCATTATTTCAGATTTTTTGAGTTTGGTAGCAAGCAAGTATGAGTCTTGCACTGCTCTTAGGGTTTCATTGTTTGATTTTAAAGTTGGTTGGCAATCCTCTTTTCGGCCGAATATATTGATCAACTGTAGATTATTCAGAGGAAGGAAAAAGAGTTGTATGTATTGGGTACAGGGACATGACAGCTGCATAAGACTTGTTAGAAAGATCCTTGAATATTGACACTAGCAGGTGTGTTCAGCCTGTTGTTACTCATGCCGCTTGATTGAAAGGGTCTGAATAGATTATTGTGAAACTGCGTAGAGCCGCCATTCATTGTTGGCAAATGTCCTCCAACTCCATTGAGAGAATTCATTCTGAAAAAGGATGTATCTGCAGAACTTCCTAAGGCTGCTGACATATTAGCTTGTTGGTTTTCCCCACAACTGACTTTTTTCAGATAGAGTCTATATTTCTGAAGATGGATGGCCACATTCTCCCTTGTAAGCTTTTCAACATTCATCAAATCAAGAATCTTTTTCGGCACAGCCTTGTCAATGCCTAATTGATTAACAGCCGAAACAAACATGTGGTGCATGTCAGCATTCCAAACAACTCGAGGCTTCTTCTGCGCCGATGGATCCTCATCGTCGTCATCATCATCTTCATTCTCTTCCTCATCTTTGTTTTCATTCTTATCCTTTCTTTTTCTATATGGCTTCACATTTTGATCCGAACTTCCTGTCACAGCCGAATCTATTCCATTTATGCTATCCGAATTGCTTCTTTTACCTTTCTTCTTCCGAATCACATGCTGCCAAATAATTTGCACCTCTTTCAATCTAACAGGTTTCAGCAGATAATCACAAGCACCATGAGTAATTCCTTTCATCACCATCTTCGGATCATCATTCGCAGAAAACATAATGACAGGTAAATCCATCTCAAGTCCAATAAGCTCAAGAAGCTTAAATCCATCCATGTCTGCCATATGAACATTATTGATTACTAAGTCAAAATTCTTTTTGTTTTCTCTCAACAAATTCAGCGCGTCTATCGCATTTTTAGCCGTAGTTACGTGATATTGACACTTTAGGAGAAGTTTCTCCAAAATCATGAGACAAGTTCTGTCATCATCAACAGCAAGAACTCTCATTCCAATAGGAAATTTATCATTCATCTTATGTTCATCCACCACCAAAGTCATTTTTTGCTAATCTAAAAATCCAAAATCAGAATCTATCAAACAGAACCAAAAAAAGTGATTTTTAAGGAAGATTTTTCGTTGAGAAAAGTTAGAGAATCTTGAAAGACTGATTGAGACCACTGTTAGAGAGGCATGGAGAAGATATAAGCACAAAATTAAGAAGAATAATTTTTTGAAGTATTCCAACATGACCGAGAGACTCAAAAATCGTCCGTCAAACGTGCCAATATTTTGAGTCAACATAATATAGGAAATTCCAATTAAAGATGTTATAGGAGAATGTTGAATTGATGTGTATATAGATATACGGTGTAAGCATTTATCACACAATGCTTCCAAGTTTGTGAAATTTATTCTTATTTCGTTTCAAAATGTGATTATGACTTCCATATATGTAATGAAAGGGGGTTTATGCATGCATAGATGTATGTTTATTTTGATGACATCATTATTGCAAAATACTGAGGCTTTCTCATAAATTGATTTGTTACAGTGGATTTCACTTTGTATCCTTCTTATTAATATGTTTTCCCCTTAAATTTCTTACGACAGAAACGTTTTCAAAATGATATGTCCATAAACAATAATGTGATAAATGTTTTACAAGATCAAAAGTGGGCGCCTATGCCCTGGAAAAAGTTGCAGGTCGGAGATATTATCAAGGTGAGTTTGCAGTGTTCTATATGTTTCTGTGCTAGATTTAATTTTGTCTTGTATATGCTCCTAACTAGAACTTATAACCTCAAAAGAAGGGCATTATTAATGGTCATTAATCCTATGCTTATGAACTTTCATTAGATGTTGGTTATCAGGTCCTCGGTGGCTGCAATCCTCCTAACATATGTTACGCTTTGTTGTGGCAACACGTTTTCCTTCTGTAATTGTTAAAAATATATTACATATATTCTGAATGACATTGCAGGTGATGATGAATTCAATGAATGTTCCTTCCAAAAGAAGTACACTGGAGAGGAAACTTGACAAGCTCATACTCGCTCTCTTTGCAACACTCTTTATGAAGAACTTCAAATCTGAATGAAGAACTTGGACAGGTAAGTAGCCACCATGTGTTTTGCTTGTAGGTGTAAAATAAGTATTCTTGATTTAAAAGGAAGAGAGTGGAAGAAAAGGTACAAAATAAGATATACACAAAATGGTGGAGGTTTGAAGGCAAACACAAAAGAAATAAAAGAAGACAGTAATATAAAAAAAGGTTTCTGAAATAATAATGACCTTTTAAGAAACTCGGAATAAAAGTGGTTTAGTATTGCAAACGGTTACATCTTCACCAGGTTCTCACTGTGTCTGAAGCTATCCTTTCAAAACCCTTCTCGATGTCTCTCATGATTTAGTTATTTTCATAATGAAAGAAGTATTGTTTTCCCTTATTGCTTTTGCACTCCCGAAATGCATGCTGTTAGTTTCTGTTATAACATGTAGTTAGTTTCTGTTTTAACAGCTCCTTGAATTCAGGAACCGTTCCCTTGATTTTAGGGAGTTAGTTTAGTCTAACTACAACTCGATAAATAGAGTTGAATCTATTGTACTCGGTAAGAATGAAAAAAATAATAATACATTCTGATTTTTCAATATCGTATCAAAGCCTTATCTAACATAATCAAGCCTTATCTTTAATCTACGTGGGATTCAGGTTTTCCAATATGAAATATAAATTGTTTTGAAGTTTCTGTATTTTTTTCTTGTCATATTTCAATGTGAAAAAAACTGATTTATTAGGTGGAATACATTTTCTCTGACAAAACTGGGACCCTAACAAGAAACTTAATGGAGTTCTTCAAGTGTTCGATAGGAGTAGAGGTCTATGGAAATGGTGTGACTGAAATTGAGAGAGGACTAGCAGAGCGCAATGGCATGAAAATTGAGGTAGTACTCTTGTTGTGTATTGTAAGAAAGTAGATGACCTGTTTTGAAATAGTACAATTATGTCTTATTATTTCTCTACAGGAAAATAGACCGCCTCATACTGTGCATGAGAAGGGTTTCAATTTTGAAGATGCCAGGCTTATGAGAGGAGCTTGGAGGAATGAACCCAATCCTGATGCCTGCAGAGTAAATGATTTTGCTTTACTTTGAATTAATGGTAGAAGTTTATTTTATCTTTAAACCTAGTCTTGAGTTTTTGGTTTGTAAGTTTGATCCTTCCTGAGTAAGGTTCTTATATACATCCATCTATGTTTTAAAATGGAAAATCAGTTGCCTTAATCCGTGCTTGCTTGTTGCATGTTATACATAAGCTATTGGTTCGCATTTATCCAAGAAATTATATGAGATTTCTCTCAATTGTAAACATCTGTCACGAGTTCCATATAAAGTTTGTATGTCTGAGCTGGATACTTAAAAATCTAATTTCTAATAAATGTATATGGTTTTATTTCATTCTATGTGTATTGCACTATCACCCTCATCTGTCATGGGTTGCATATAAAGTTTATATGTTCAGAGGTGGATACATAAAAGTCTGCAATTTCTAATAAATGTATACATTTATTTTATCCTATTTGTGTATTGTACTGTCAATCTGTCATGTTCTGTAATTTTAATCCCTGCAATTTCTAATAAATGTATACATTTATTTTATCCTATTTGTGTATTGTACTGTCAATCTGTCGTGTTCTGTAAGAAGATACAACAAGTAAGAGTGTTCATCAGAGTTCATTTACTCCAAAAAATAAACATAAAAGGATAGCACAAGTTATACATACATACATACAGTTAAAGGCTATTGTAAGTCCTGAATAGTGAGCCAAAAACAGAATGGTTTTCATAATTGATTTATTTGCTAGTAAGCTCATGTCACCTATTACAGTTTAGAACGGAAATTCACATCCATTAAAAACCTTCATAATTAATTCACATCCATGAGATGTGAAGAATATAAACAATGTGTTTTGCTCATTGGTTTAGTTTTTATTTGTGCGAGGTTTAATTCTTGTTGATGTCTTAATTGTCCTTTGGACCAAAAATACTTATGGTTAATGTGTTTTATTTTATTTCCTTATGCAGCAATGTATCAATGAAGATGTTGAAAAGGACGATATAAATGATGAAATTCAAGAGGACGACATAAATGATAAAATTTAAGAGGACGACCTAAATGATAAAATTCAAGAGGACGACGTAGATGACGAATTTCAAGAGGACGACATAGATCTAGATGATGAATTTCAAGAGGAGGATATAGATGGTGAATTTCAAGAGGACGACGTAGATGAAGAATTTATGGAGGATGACATATCTAACGAATTTCAAGAGGACGATCTGGATGCTTTACTCCTAGAAGACAAACTTGAATGAGTTGGATGATGTCTTTTTTTTGGCTTGTAGTTGAAAGCATTAAACTTGAAATATGATTTTTGTTCTTTTGCTGAACTATGTTTTTAGTTATTTTACTAGGGTCATACTTCAAAGTATTAAAAGTAATATTGTTACGTTAGGCATTTTGTGTACTCTATATACTATATCTTGAATTAAAGTTTGAACTCGATTTTATTATATTACAACTTTTATGGATGTATGGTTTAAGTTATATAATCAATATTATTTTTGAAGCCAATTATTATTGACTATATTATTTTGATAATAATTGCAAAATTGTATATTTTATGTGGACACTATAAAACAACAACCTATAAGCTATGGCTACACTTCAAAAACGATCTTCCTGATTCAGGTTTAAGGCAACGATTGTTAATTGTAGCCGAATTTGGCAACGCAACGCTTAAAAAACGTTGTCTCAGATGCCGTAAATAATCGTCCCCTATTCCTTTACTATAGGCGACGTATTTCAAAAGCGTTCCCAAAAAACATAAAAAAACGTTGCCTCAAACAATAGGCAACGCTTGCACAGGAGACGCCTAGAAAACGTCCCCTATTGTTTTAGGCAACGATTTTCAGAGTTCTGGCAACGTTTTTCAATTGTTGCTGGAGAGCCTAAATGTTGTAGTGATATAAAAAATCAATAGTCTTTTATGCTTATTAGTAGATATTTCATGAGCAAAAATTAAGGATGCTTCATAATTCTTATTCTATATGGCTTGGCATTAAGCATTCTTTTTCCTTTTTTTTAGGGACATCATAGATGAGGGGTTTGTAATGGAAAATACGTTGATTTATGGACTGATAGTTGGTTAGGATACATAACTAGATATTTACACTTAATAGTATATTAATATGGTTATTTAATTTATGTAAACTGCTAAGATTAATTCAACAATACAAGAAATTAATTAAAACATTCTTCCTGGCTTATCCTTTTTTCCTACTCAAATTGTTTGAGATATTTTAAAAATTAACTTGTTATTTGATAATACTAATGTTGATGACTCAATTGGACATGATCCACATATGGTGATTTATCTTTTAAAAATATCTACAATTATATTAAGAAGGATCACATCGAACCTTTTTGGATAAAATTCATTTGACAATCCTAAATATTCCGTGCTAAGTCATTAGTGACTTAGAAGATAATGCATAATATTATGGCAAGAGAAGACAAATTGATTCAAAGGGAAATGCATATGATTTATAGGTATTTTTTCTTAAATCATGATGTGAAAACTACAAACCACTTACTTCTTAAATGCAGGTACACCTTACTTTTCTGGAATTTGATGGAGTAATTGTCTGACATGAACATTGATAGAACTAGTTATAATTATAAATGATTATTTAAAATTCCTGGAAGTTGGAGCTCTCAAATTAAGAATCTAATCATGACTCTCATCATAATAATCATTTGGAAAACTTCGCACACAAGACATGATATCAGGTTCTAAAATGGTAAAATTGATTTTGATATAAACATTTTTCATGTTAAATAGTTGGTATATACGAAATCTACTTCTTTCAAGGGGGCATATTTACTCTTCAATTAATAAATTTAAAATTATTAAATGTTTTAATAGCAAATATCGACTTCCTCCTGTACCTAGAATCATACGAAGTAATTGACATTTTTTTAGTCATAATTGGATTATGAGCAACACAGATGGAACTTCAAGAGAAAATCCTTGAATATTAACTTAAAGTGGTATATTTAAGAATAATTTTTGAACATCGTTGAAAGCTTTCTGAACTAAGATAGACATTTTAGGAGTTTGTACCTTCTTTTAATCTTAATTGCATGGAATCATGTTTTCTATTGACGCTAATAGGAGGAATTGAATAATATTTTAACTTGAAATTAACTCAATGTAGGCCATTCATTCATTTTTTATTGTGAATATTGTCATTTGACATTATTTAATCGAGTGGAAGAATAATTTACATACTATATTTTCATTTAGATTCAAAATATCTCACATTTTGAGAGAAGAATATGCATGTGCAGATAAATTGACGAATTTAGATTTTTTTGTTGTTGATTATATGACACATGGGGAAACTCACTTTTTATTTCACTATGCCAAAATTGAATTTAGACAGCGCCACATAGACAACGCTTATGCCATAAGCGCTGCTAAAGGTATACCTTAGACAGCGCTTACTAAAAGCGCTGCTAAAGGCTTTATCATAGCCAGCGCTTCCTTTCCCTAAGCGCTGCTATAGGTTTTCAATAAAATAAATAAATAAATAAGAATAAGCGCTGCTAAAGGGTATACCTTAGACAACGCTTACCAAAAGTGCTGCTAAAGGTGTGATAAAGGGTATACCTTAGACAGCGCTTTCAAGAAGCGCTGCTAAAGGCATTAAACTAAAGCGCTGCTAAAGCCTTAAAGCGCTGCTAAAGGTAATACCTTTAGCAGCGCTTCTTGAAAGCGCTGTCTAAGGTAATTAAATAATTTCTAAATCCCTAAATTGGTTATCAGAAACCCCACTTTATACAAAACCCCACTTTATACACGCAACTGTTCATCTTCGACTAACTCGTCTCCTCCCTCCTCACCGTCCAACCGTGGTTCATCTTCTTCTCCAACTCGCTTCGGATTCGTTACCACCATCTCCTCGTGAAGAAGTTTCACAAAACTAGTTTCACTATAAGGTAAAATTTCTTCATCCTTCTAAATTTTGGATTGATAGTTGTAGCTACAGTGATTAGTTTACTCGATTTTGCATTTAGAAACTTTATTCTTGGATGCAACATTTTCATTTGATCTAGATTCTAAATGGATTCCTCCATTTCAATTGAATGGGTTAATTTTAAGTCATACAATTCTAGGTCCTAAGTTTCCAGCATGGATACATACACTGAGGTCATTAGAATATCTTGAGTTTCCTAACTCTAGGGTTTCATCCGTTGATGGAGACACATTTTGGAGATTTGTGGCTAATATTACATAAATTAACATGTCCCACAACAACATCAGTGCAGACTTATCAAATGTCACGCTAAACTCAGAAATCATATTTATGAACGATAATAACTTAGGAGGAGGGCTCCCACGTATATCAGAAAATGTCTTCTTTTTGGATTTGCATGCAAATTCTTTTGCAGGATCCATTTCTCCTCTGATCTGCCACAAAATAGGTAGGGAAAACAGTTTGGATTATTTGAGTATTTCATAATAAACTTAGAATCTCTTGATCTATCTCAGAATAATCTTATTGGAGAAATCCCTGATACCATTTCAGTTTTGTCGTTCTTAAGCTTCTTAAATTTGTCAAACAATAACCTTGTTGGACAAATACCAATTGGCACTCAGCTTCAGAGTTTTGATGTTTCATGCTATGTTGGGAATCCTGGACTGTGTGGAGCTCCTCTAGCAGTATGTTATTATGATCCAAACCCACATGGAGGACACAATGATCCATCCTTCATTTTGAAACCGTAAACCAATCGAAAGCTAGTGAAAATGAAAGTTAGTTATGAAATTCCTGTTAGAAGTTAGATGTGTTAGCTACAGTGAGGTTTTCCTGCTAGTTCTGGTTTTGGTTTTCTGCTAATGTTAGCTAAGTAAACAAAGTTAGTTAATCAATTTTAAAAACAAGTAATTAAAAATTAGACAGTTCTATTAATAGTTAGTAACTAAGGTAATTAGTATAGGTTAGTAAAAAGATAAAAGTGAACTGTCAGAATGTTAATTGAAATTGCATATTAAAAGGCTAGTTGGTTATGTTAAGAAAAGTTAGAAAATCTTTGTTAAGAATTAGTTAATCCTATGTTGAAGTGGATCCGCATATGCAGGGCATGATTGATGGCTTGAAAAATGAGCATCATTTATAAACACTAAATTGGAAAATGGTAACTTGATTTCTGCAGGTGATAGTCAGTATGTATTGTTTTGTATTGTTTGTGCATTTGCATTTATGCTTGTATGAACTGAGCTAGCAATTATCATGAATTGGAACTGGTTTGACCATGCATAGGGCTGCATTTGGTGAATTGAATGAGGTGCATGACTGCTTTGATATGGCTTGATGGTATTATTATTAGTATTACTATTAATAATAATAATAATAATGGTATTGTAATTACTAGTATTACTAAAGGTCTGGTTTTTCTTTCTATTTTATTAAGTCAGTTTGTCATATTTAATGGTTAATGGAGCCAATTAGCAGTAAGTAAGATTGTTTTTAGTTGTATTATATTATATTTTCTGAGTCCATATTAAGTCAAGAAATCCAAGACAAGTCAATGTATTTGGTCAAAGTGTGGGACAAAGTTTATTCAAAGCAGAAACCTTAATTTGCTCAGTAGGATATCAAAAACAGATCAAATCACTCAAAATGACTTAATCAGAAATCAAATATTATTTTCATTAATGGAGATTGATACAAAAACTATAAAATCCGATCTGAACAATAAAAGGCCCAAAGATCATGATAACTAATTGAATCATTATGCAAAATAATAGAACATAGATCCAAATCTTCCTAATGTAAATTAATTGGGATCAATCAACACAAAACGCAAACCCTAATTCTAAGTCTATAAAATCCTAAGACATTCCACACTGAAGAGGGACGAAAAAACCCTTGAATTTGTAGCAGAAGTAGTTTCCAAACCCTCAATGAAAGCTCAAAAAATCTCGATACTTAGGGTTTTCACATCGAAAACCTAAGTTATCTAAGTCAGTCCCAACAACAGTACCTCACACACAACAAAGAAAAGGGAAAGAATTAAAAGTAAAAGGAAGTAG